GAACACCACCACGAAGGGAAGAAGTCACCGCGTGGTATCCTCACCGAGAAGACACCACTGGAGACCTGGACCTTCAGGGCCTGATGCCATCGACGTCCAGCTGTGCCCAGAGCGTTCCTCCCTGACTGGCTCCTACGAAGGAGGCTCCGTCCCCAGCGCTGGCTCGGGAAGCGGTCCTGAACCCCAGCCCAGCCCACCACGGCGCTCCCAGTGCCCTAAAGATTCAGACAAGCAGCGCACACACTGATGGACAACTGCTCAGCCTCCCTAGATTCTGCGCGATTAAACAGAGCAACATGAAACACCCACCAGAGAAGCACATTCATTTAAAAATTGAAGGTACTTATGTAAGTCTCCACTCAAACGTAATTAACAAGCCCAACTCTTCCCCCCAGCAATCCTGGAAGCAAGCAGAGAACCCCCTCTGAGCCCCCAGAGCACCCTCCAACCTGAGCCCACAGGTGTTTCCACCTTCGGCGCCAGCCCCGAGCAGGGGCTGCAGACAACAGGTAAGCAATGTGAACCCTGCCTCAGCACCCAGGCTCCGTCATCCGCCAGGTGGGGTGGGTGGGCCAGTGAGCACAGGCTGTGTGGGTCCTTCCACCTGAAGGTCCCCCCCACTCAGGCTCTGAACCTTCTTCCCGCTCTCCCCACACACACTGAGGAGGCCCCTACAGGGGGTGCCAGACGGGACTCAGGGACTCAGACCCCTGGAGCTCAGCAAGACAACTCTGCTCTGGAGGAATTTTTAGGCAGACCCCAAACAGGAAAGTAGAAGCTATGAGTGAAAGGGATGTTGGATGCCATGGAAACGAAACTCTTCCATCAGTAATTTCACCCCGACCTGCCTTTAAGGTAGAGACTCAGCATGACGACAGGATCTCAAAGTACCACCAAACGTTCAAGAAACATTAATCAGGATACAGAATGTTCTGCTTAATTATCTCATTAATTTGGGATTATTTATTACAAAACTTACCCACGCCTCCTAATAACTAACGTTTGACAGCGCTGGGAAATATTTTGACAAGTTAACTGACCTTTCTCCCACAAAACACGGACATCTGATGGTCTGGACACTCAAAACTCTGTAGGAAGCCAGGCATGGAGGGCGAGACCCTGTGTCCGTGTGAGCAGAGAGGAGAGACGAGCACGCAGGCTAAGATCTCTGCCAGGAGGACGGCCTCAGCGAGCGAATCTGAGTCTCCACCATGAAGTCTCTGCAGCGCTGGGCAGACGGCAGCCCCGAACACGGGGGGAGGCGGGCACCCGCGTGAGCCTCAGGCTGGACTCCATGCATCTCAGACCTGAGGAAGGGGCCCCTCGGGAGTGGGTGCATCACTGGGTCCAGGACTCCGAGCCCAGCATGGGGCCAGGCACTGGGGTCACTGAGGAGACTGACCACGCTGGGTACTGTGGGGGCAGCGAGAAGCAGGGGTGTTCTCATGAAGGGAAGCCCCAACTGCTGCAGGGAGAGGAGAGAGAGGGGGTTCTGGAAGAGGGGCTCTCAGACTGGGCAGGACGACGTCTTATAAAACCAATACTATAATTCAGGGGGTGGAGAGAGTGCCCCGGGAAGGAAGGAGCAAGTCCTGGACAGCTCCTGGCGGGCAGACAGGCCTCCCGTGAGCACCCACACGGCTCACTCAGGGCACTCAGCAGCCAGACTGCAGGGGCCCACGGCCGTGAGGCGGGACAGGGGTGGGGGTGAGGGTGGGGTAGCGACCCGCGCCCTCTGCGTGCACAGGTGTGCACAGGCGCGTGTGCCTCGGGCAGCCCCGCCGCGTGCACAGGCGCGCGTGCCTCGGGCAGCCCCGCTGCCAGGGAGCACGGTGACCTGGGGGGGGGGGGGGCTGGGACACAGAAGCGGCAGAACAAGCGGGGGAGGGACACCACCTAGACCGCCCGCTGTGGGAGGGGCCTCGTCGGCCCCGCTGTGCTAGAAGGGCCCTGCTCCAGGCGCTGTGGGGATGCCACAGAGCAGCGCTGTCTCCCAACGCCAGCCTCCGGGGCAGGTCCTGAGCGGAGCCCGCCCTTTCCCTGGGCTTCCTGCCCGCTCTGCTCCTGCTCTGAGCTTCCAGCTAACGGTGAGCACCGAACCGAGAGCCTGGGCCCTGTGGACGGCGCACAGATGTGCACTGCGTGGTTTTCCTGGGCTTAGATCAACTTAAATACCTACTAACGACTTCCTGTGCACCCAGCCCTGCGCTGGCACTACAAACACAGACAGGGATCCCCGTGGTCCTTATTCTAGGAAGCAGCCAAGCGCCAGCACCAAGAGAGGCCTCATCCAGGCACCACGAGCATCCATGGGGCCTCAGGCTCCAAGCACATCACGTCACAAAGGTCTAAGGGGAGGAGTCCTCGGAGCGGTCCTGCACCCAGACACCCAGAGCTCCGCTCCACATTCACCACCCGTGAGTCTGACCCTCGCCGCCCACGCTCATCAGTGCATCAACTGCAGCTCTGGGGCCCTCTGCACGGGGTACGCTGCCTTGCTAAGAAATTCCTCAGACTCAACCCACTCCGAGGGGAAGCACGCAGGCTCTGGAGCTGGCCCTGAGCTTGAACACCAGCGCTGCCGTCCAGGGAGCCAATGACCTCAGGCAGGTCACTCTGCCTCGCCAAGCCTCCATTTCCTCACATGTCAAACAGAGGTCTTAGAATTCGCTCCCAGGGCCTGTTCTAAGGGTTGGATGAATGAGAGCCCGTGAGAAGCGCTGGAGCCAACAGACGCGAGTCCCCGTGGCCTGGGCCCCTCTCCCCCGTCAGCCCGGAACGAAGCAGAGACGCTCCCTGCATGACAGCGCTCCTCACGCTGCCCATCGTGACCGTCACTGACCACTGCTCTGAGATACCATCAGCCTGGAGCAGCACCAGCACAGTAAAGGCTGGTAAGAATTGTTTTTTTAAAACTGTTTCTGTCACATACATTATCTTGTATTGCTCCAAACACATGGCCACACACTGCGTCACAATACACGACTGATTTACTTTTGCAAGTCAGGGTAAAAATAAGCTTGAGACAGACTATTCCAGGACAGTGTCACCGTGCCCCAGGGGTCACAGGCCCCAGGTCTGGGAATCTGCAAGGTCAGGGTTCACAGTCAAATCTCACAGCACAGGTGCACAAACAGGCGTGCAGTAGGACAGCCTGTCCAAGAGTTGAGTGTTCACAGATAGGAGAAATCATTTGTTGGTTAAACGGAGGTGACCTTTAACCCTGGCCCCAAACACTCCCAGACAGGGCAGCCCAGCCCCCCAGCAGCAGCGGCTTTGTGGCCTCACATCTAGACTGATCCCCAGTGATATCAGCCGCGACCTCCATACCCTCGTCCCCGGCATGAATTCAGCAGAGTTGGAACAGTCTCGGGGTCAGGACAGAGGCAACGAATGCTAAGCATCCCATAGGCTCGCTCCCATGGAAGCAGACAAATCAGCTTTACTTAAACAGCAGGGCCTCGTTCGGAAGACACTTGGCCTTTAACTTCTAGAGGTGAGCCTTTGCCTCCTGAAACAAGTGAGCACAGAGGAAAGCCAAGCCCACTATGTGTTCCCAGCAGTTGTGGACTCACCACGCACGTCGGTGCAGGAACCCAAACGGCCTCTCAGCCCACAGACGCCTCCTTCTGCAGAGGCACCTTCGCAAGGCTGGTGCCCCCGTATGGGGCCCTCAGAGGCCAGTCGTCTGGGTGGACAGACGAGACCGCAGGCTCAGGGAGGTTCCCCGGCCGTGCTCGGGCCACAGGGACATAACGGGAGCGGCTGGGGCTCAGGTGGGATTCCAGGACCCGAGACACGGCCCCCGGATCCCTGGGTGCCCTGGCCTCCTCGCCTGGCACCCGGTTGAGGGACACCCCAGCCTTTCCAGCCTCTCCTCAAGCAACCAATCCTCCTGCACAAAGACCTCCTGGTCTAGGCTCCAGCAGGAGCTCTCTGGGATCCTGTGTACGTCCACTTCGATGTCCACCAGGTGCCCTAAAACCAAAGTGTCCAACACCAGCTCCGCTCTCCACCATGCCAAGCCCGGCACCCCTCACAGCCACAGGACGCCCCGGGGCCACAGCCTCCGGCCAGCGCCTCCCCCTCCCAGCCCTCCACCCACTTCTGCGGCCTCAGCTCAAGCCCCATTCTTTCCCCTTCACGGTCTCTGCCTCCAGGTTCCCCTGCTGCCCAGGGAACCAGAAACTCACTTCTGGGCGGAACCCGGAGCCATTCTCGCCCCAAGTGGAAGCCGCCAGCCGCTCCCTCTGGCCCCTGGACTCCTGTCTGAGCCCCTCAGCTTGGCATCCACGACCCCTGACTGGGCCGCTGGAGCTCGTGCCTGCCGCTCTCAGCCCTTCGCGGGAAGCTCCCACGTCCCCACTCCACCGGAGCTCGCGCCTGCTGCTCTCGGCCCTTTGCGGGAGGCTCCCACCTCCCCACTCCACCGGAGCTCGTGCCTGCCATCTGGCCCTTTGCAGGAGGCTCCCATGTCCCCACCCCACCAGCCACGGCCTGCTGATCCCGGAGCATGCACGCTCTTGGCAGGCCTTGGCTCCAGCTCTGGATCGCCCCCAGGGGCCCTGACACCCCCACAGGCTGCACGGCCCAGGGTCCAGGCGCGGGTGCTCCTCCAGGCGGGAGCTCCAGGCATAAAGTGCCAAGCCTGCCCCCGATCCCAGCGGAGAGCCTGCACGGGCCGGGGGCTGAGCGACATCTCGGGGAGGAACGGATAAAGGGCATGTTGAAAACACAGAGGCCCAAGGCACCTTCCTCCCCTGGAGGGAGTTCAAAAGGAGCGGAGAGAGTCACGTGGCATCAAGAGCGGATCAGAGCCTAGCCGATGACCGGCAGCCCAGGCTGCGAACACAGGGCGTCTCGGGCGTCTCTCGGAAGGGAGACTATAAAGCAGGAGGTAGGGGCCAGCTGGGCCCCGAAAGAAGCCAGCAGTGCGGAATGAAAGATGGGGGCACAGACATGAGAAAACACTCTCAAAATGCACAAAAATGTAGCCTTACCAATCAATTAGGTAGATGTCTGGAGTTAAGTTGTTTTTCTTGAAATGAGCAAATAATTTCGGCAAGTTTTCTTCAAAGAATACCTCAAATGCAGCAAAGTATGTCAACATCTGGGGAGAAAACGTGAAATATACTAATAAATACGTTATCAGCACACGTTTCCAATCTACAGAGAAAGTCAGTACACTTAGCGCCCCAGAATCCAACAATCATCTTCGTATGTAAACTGCTCACGTACCCTTCCTAAACCCTAACCCAGGCACTGAGCAGGTGATTTCTAAACAGCACCATCTCTAACCGCCTGCAATGTCACTGCGACTGACTACAGCTCATCCTTTCTTCAACTTGCAGAAAACAGAACTGAAGCCCAGAGTGTCAGAGAAAGCTTCAGTCACTCGGTCAAGTCCGACTCTCTGTGACCACCAGGCTCCTCTGTCCGTGGGATTCTCCAGGCAAGAACACTGGAGCGGTCGCCCTTTCCTTCTGCAGAGCAGGCACATAACTCGCCTAACGAGGCACCTCGTGTGCGTCCAAGGTGTGGCCTCGAACTCGCGCCCTGACCCACAGCAAAGGCGGACTCCTGACGGCTCCTTCTTCTCTGAGAACCAGGAAGGAACGAGCCGCCTAACAACAATCTGAGGAAACACGCGGCCTCTGTGCCGACCCCCAGCCTTTCCAGAGGCAGTCTGATACTGACACTTGGGCAATGGCGACCGCGGGGCGACTGTGGGCCTCCTCACATGCAGCCTCCTCCACACTGAAAGGACAGGGAGCCGCCCCAGCCCGCGTCTCAGCCCACAGCTCCTCAACTTCCTACGGGGTCTGCAGGAAAACCCAACGCACCAACCAGGGCACGGCGCCGAAACAGCTGCGGGGCACCAGCCTCCCCCTGGGCCCCCAGGTGGGGGACCGAGCCGAGCGCCGGCGCTGACACAGAGCGAGGACGTCCGTGCGGGGCACCCCTCCTCTCGCACTCCAAGGGTTTATTTTCAAACACTTGCTCGAAGAATGTATTTTGAAATTCACACATACAGCTATTAACCACCCGTTTTTCAGGGTCAACACAATGCCCCGGTAATCCTCCACATTGTACAGTGCTACTTGCTCCAAGTAACCCCGAGGAGGGAGAAATGGAACCTTCCGGCCAAACAGAAGGACCAGGCCGCTCTTCCTCTGTGAAGACACGGCACCCGGGGCACCACACACCCAAGGGGATACTTACAAGGCCATGGTCCACTCGGAAAAACGCCATCTGACAGGGTTTATTCAAAAGATTAGAAAAAGCAATGAAGGCATCTGCAGTATCTAAGTTCAAGATCAACACGGCCGCTATGAAGGACATGCCCTGAACCTGAGGGGAGGAGAGAGGGTGGGTTAAACCACCAGCAGCCACCATGGTCAGAGCAGCCCCTGCATCTTACTGAAGGAGGAACCTACATGTCCCCGCACTGGAAGGGCCCACGCTGCCCCCGCCCGCTGCCACCCCCTGAAGGCTAGACCCACGGCCTCGAGGAACCTGCCCATCCTTAGGCAGAATCGCTGCCCTGCCACGATCGCTGCCTGTCTGCACTCCTTCATTCCCAAACCCTCCTCTGCACCTGACCGACTCACTGCCTTCTAGAAGGTACAACGTAAGGGCACCATGGAAACGTACATCTAAGGGAACATGTCACTCTAAAGCCATGCAGGCACATGCCCGCTAAGCCACAGAAATGTCAGCAGCATAGTTTTAAAAAGTTACAGCTAAAAAGCTTTTTTGATTTAATGCTGGGGGGAAAAAAAAAAAATCACATGCAAAAAAATGAAAATTAAACTCAATTAAAACGTGATCAATGGAGAAGGAAATGGCAACCCGCCCCAGTACTCTTGCCTGGGAAATCCCACGGACCTAGAGGACCCTGGAGGGCTAGAGTCCACGGGGTCGCAACAAGAGTCAGACACGACTAAGCGGCTAGGCTCGTATGTCAGGCTTTGAAAAAAAAAATGATCGACGCCACAGAGCAGCCAGGGCAGCTCCATTTCCCTACAAGAAAACTGAGGCAAGTCATTGACCATGAGCCTTTCATAGCCCACAAAAACGGGGGCCCGTGACCCGCCATCTGCAGCTACGGTGAGATGGTGGAGAGCGTGACTTTCTTTCTAGAGGAGAATGTCAGAAAATCTCGGAAAGGTTCACTTACATAACCCACATCCGGTCGGTAACAAGTGTACGCGCCCAAGATGCTGTGCAGCGTGTCGTGGTACGGGCCACCCTACAAGGACCAACACCAGAGACGCGCGTCAGCCAGGCCAGCGCGTGCACCGGGGCCGCCGCCGCCCCTACGAGGACCGGCACACCAGAGACGCGCGTCAGCCAGGCCAGCGCGTGCACCGGGGCCGCTGCCGCCTGGAGCGCGGCGGTGCCCGGGGAGGACTCACTGCCAAGTGTCACGCGGCCGCCCGGCACGTGTCACGGGGCTGGACGAGTCAACCGTCGGCCACAGCGGACGAGCCCCACCTGCAAGCCGCTCTGAAACAAGCTGGCGGGCCGGGTGTGAGCACCACCCTGGGACAACACCCTTAATTCAGCTGCTGCCGGATGACTGTACTGCCCCTTCAAGTTCAAGGTGACCGGGCACCCAGGCTCTTCAGGGCAGGTACGTGCCCACGGTCAGTCCGCCTCTGCCTCCGCCACACCCTCATCCTGATGATTCTTTCTGCCCCCTTGCCCCCCACTGCCTGACACTGTCTGTGTGTACGACGTTTCAGCACAGCAGGTGCAGGTCGCTAACTCATCTGCTGTTGTTTACTCCACTATCCTTCACTGGTTACCTAGTGTGTGCAAAGCATGATGCTAGAAACACGGGCACGATAGAATCAGACTGGGTATTTAGAAGTCATATTAACTATCTGTCGGAAACGATTTAGTTCAGTTCACTTCAGTCGCTCAGTCGTGTCCGACTCTTTGCAACCCCATGGACTGCAGCATGCCAGGCTTCCCTGTCCATCATTAGTTACCCTTATTTTTAACAGTCTGAAAGTATTCACAAAAGACCCGCCCTCCCAATAAAAATCCCCAGTACTTTTCAAACCTGATCACAAATACATGCAATTTGGCATTTTAGACAAAACATATTTAAAGCAACAGATCACCACCACTTACTTGCTGGAAAATGCAGAGACTGGGGAACGTTCTGGAGATGTCCAGTTTAATCAGCTCCAGACTGGCTTCTCTGTCTGCTGCTGAAAAACCAGCATCTGTCAAAAGACCAGGAGTCATCACACCTCTCAGAGGCAAGTCTGTGCAGTAACTGCAAGGTTTCAAACTCTTAGGAGAATCAAACAAGGAAGGGACGTTCTTCAGGAGCACGTGGGCCTAATTACAACCTGAACCTACAGCAACAACAGTTTGCAGAGTTCTTTAAGAGCAAAAATCTGACAGTACCATCTAAGGCTAGATCATCATCAGATATTTTCTAGGGTCTGAAATCAAGATCTAATTTGATATTACCTTTTATCAACAACTGTCAGTGGAATTAAGGACAAGTAAGGGAATAAACACAAATGAATTCCACACACAGACAACATCAGAAAAATCATTTGATCTAGAACATCGCTGGTATAAACGTAGACTATGTGGGAGTTACTGCAGCATAACATTACTGTGTGTTATTGGTAACAAATAACTATGGATAATTTGCTTTATATTTTTAAAATTCCAATACCACATGGTATAAAAAAAGATCAGCAAAAAAGATACTACTTAACCAACAGAAGCAACCACAATCATTTGCGTGTCATGGAAAACTCTGAAAGCATAACCTAGGGAACAGGCAATGTTCCCATCCCTTTGGAAGGCACTCCAACTCTCCTCTATAAACTGGCACGTCAGCCCTCCTGGGGGCCAGACTACTGTCCATCAGCGAACAAGGAAGCCATACATGATGGCCAGCCCTCCAGCACGTCTGGACGCAGACAACTCTCAGGAACTTGTATCATCTTTCTTATAAAAGCTTTTTTTCTTTAACTCATTTGATCTAAAAAAAAAAAAAAAAAAATCCCCTTTTTGGAATGTCCTGGTGGTCTCCTGGTTAGGACTCGGGCGCTTTAGCCCAGGTTCTAGCCCTGGTCAAGGAACTAAGATCTCATGTGCCATACTACATAGCCAAAAAAATTTTTTTTTAATCCCTTTTCCCAAGAAGATTTCAGAAATTTGCACCAACCACTATTTCAGGTAAGGAAGTTCTCTTTGTTATGTAATAAGTAATGACGTGCATAGTATTTACAACTTATATAGCTGACCAAAAGAGCACGCTGGTGTTGCCGTCACACACACCTTCGGGATCTGCTTCGGAGCCTCCTGTGCTCAAGGACCGCCACCGCTCCTTTGCTCGGGCAAGGCAGATGTCGAAGAGCTCTGCAAGAAAAGCCTTCGGTAAGTATCACACGCATATGCATGTCCCCCAGCACACCAGAGAATTCACTACCGCCTCGTTCAAATAATTAAAGTTCAGCCACAGACTCCACACTTACTACAGCTACTTCCTCCCTTCTGGCCGGAAGGCACTTCTGTTTTCTACAGATATCACCATATAGAAAGAAATACACAAAATGCCACTATGCCTGGTGTTTATTACACCACCCACCCATAAAGCTATTCTGTTTTGATGTGCTTGAAGAGGCTATGGCCTCACTAGACTCTGAGCTCCTGGGGGTAAGACTGTAAGGGTCTCTGGTCATATCTGAATCCAGAACAAACAGCACTGGGACTGACACAGATCAGGACCATCAGTGAGCACGTGACTGATGAGCAAGGTGGGAAACAAGCAGAAAGCCCAGTCTGGTTTCAAAGAAAGACCAGACGGACCCACTACCCCCAGCCCAGTCTTCCTGAACTTGTTGCCTGAAAGTGCAGGAAGGGTAAAAGCTACACAGGCAGAAGTTTCAAAAATAAATGTTCTCAGTGGCAGCAAAGTAGCAAGACAGTCTCTCATAAGACAACCATCAAATCTCCATATCTGGAACTTATTTGTTCACTCTTCTCTTTGGGTAGTCTGGCACTAGTGAAATAACTTGAGCTCACAAACCTCTCTGCCGTGCACAGACCTCCACGCCCCACCCTTCCTCAAAGACTGAACCCAGAGACACCTCCGAGCCGCTGATGGCCCATCCAGCCCCGCGTCCTCCCGGTTCCTCTGCCTCCAACACTGCCCAGCCACTGGCTGCCCTGGATCACGAACAGTCACTGAGACTTCCGCTGCTGCTACCCAGAGAATCCCTACCACTTTCTTCTTTCCTTCAGTATTTCTGGGAAATAAAGCAGAGCACAACTGCCTTCCAGACAGTAAATGATATTTTTAAAAATACAAGTAAATTTTGGCAACGCTATTGTGTTGTATTGTAACAAGCTAAATTGTGATTACAACCTTCCTCTAACCTTGTGAAGGAAGGACCTGACTACGCTTGTCTGCAAGGACAGAACAACTATGAAACGAAACAGCACATTAACTTCACATTAACCTGGAAGGCAGCATGCGTCTGAGCTCAGCAGCTTATGGGACAAACCTGGGGATGTGCTAAGCGGGAGCCACAGGGTCTGGGGCGCCCCTGCCTGCTCTGCTTCCAGGAGGCGGGCGGAGCTTTGCTCACTTTGGCAGGAGATGGACGAAAGCCACCACGTGGCCCCTGACCACTGGGAATCGCTTCCCGGCGAGGGATCGGACAGTTAGAGCACAGAGGCGGGCAGCCCTGGGGTAGCAGAGGTCAGAGGGCAGTTTTCACAGCGCCGCCATGGTTTAACTGGCATGCGCTTGTGGGGAGAGAGGGAGTTCAGTGACTCGACCTTCTTCCCAGAGCAGCTTCCAAGTGCAAGGCTGACTCCCCCCAGAGTGAAGGTAACGGTACCACCAGGCTGATGTTCAGCGACTTTCCAACTGCACAGCCACAGAAACGGCAAAACCTTGGGGCTTCCCAAATCGCAGCATGGGCTTCAGGGTTAGCTGACTAACCCGTCAGGGTGGCTGACTTCCTCAGTAGGCAAACAAGGTCAACAGTTCCTGCGCCTCAGACTGCTGTCAACGTTCCCCAAGACGTAAGAAAGCACCTATCTGATGCCTGGCCTCAAGAGGGGGCTTCAAGCTCATCAGTGTAGTCACGGTGGCTTCAGTACACAGCCAGTTTTGAGATTTAGGAGGACCCAATAAGGTGGCATTCACACTCATTCATTCGCTCCTTCATTCATCCAGCAAACACTTCCTGAGGGCCTGACTGTGCAGAGAGGTTGTAGAGGGTTTCAGGTGACGGAAGGGACATGAAGGCATGAGGCCCCAGCCTGCTGAGCACCAAGTGAGGTGGGCAGCTGACTTCAGGCAGCTAGTTACACAAGGAAGACACAATTTAAATAAAACTGGCCAATATCAAGATTTGCACGGACTGTCGAGGCATGTGACTGATTAACTAAGCCATTTAGCCTGATACACTGTGATATAGACTACGGGGGATTTTAATTTAAATGAAATCAGTGCAGCCAACGGTGAGAATGAAAAATTAAATAGAATCCACACACACAGAGAATGCTGCATTGTGCCCAGCGGGCTTAGAGCTGTTGACACGTTTAGAACAGTCCCTGTTCTTGAGACAAATGGTCGTCCATTCTTCAAACACTGACTTCTGGCGAAGCTTTTGTGAAACCATTTCCACAAGTAAATGTTACACATCTTTTCACCTATAGAGGTTAAGTTTTGGGCAGGTATGGGCTAACCAAAAAAAAAAAAAAGAAAAAATGGAAGTCTGAGGAAATGACAAAGAAAAGAACCAGTAACCATCCACCCAACCAGCTGTCACTACTCAAGAAGAAGAACACTGCTGGCCGGGGCTGAAATCGCAGTGTAAGATCAATATCTTACAAAAATAAAATTTACAACAGTATGAACCCCAGCCACAGAGAAGATACAAACCAATCTACTTTACACTCAGGGGCCTTCAACAGGGTAAAAAACCAGCCGCCACCAACTCTACAAGCTGGCACTAACACAGAGAAGACCAGGAAAGAGCTCTCGGCCTGGGCAGTGTAGACTGTAGACAGAGAGGAGATTCGATCTTGCTTCCATGAGCAGTGGAATTATGAACAAGTGAGAGAGTAAACACAAATGAATTCCAGACACGGAAAACACCAAAAAAAATCATCTTATATAGAACACTGCAAATCTAAATGCAGAATATGTTTATTCTAGACTGCAGACAGACAGGAAGGGAGGGAAGTCAAGATTCCTGCTTGCCGGGCACTTCATTGTGGGCCTGAGCTAATAGGGTGGGTTTCACTCCGGGTCACAGCCTGCAGAGTGCTGGACAGGGAGGGAGTGAAGTAGTGGACAAGCTCGTGGAAGAAAAGCTCGGCCGAACTGTACGAGGGCATGCGGCAGGACAAACAGCCCTGAGAAAGCAGGGTCTAGGAGCTCTCAAGTGGAAGGTGGATAGGACTCGGGGCTTTCACTACTGTGGACCGGGGTTCAATCCCTGGACTGGGAACTAAGATCCCACAAGCTGCGCAGCATGGCACCTCCAAAAATGAGGGTACAGAGCTCCCCTCCCTCTGGACTGAAGCTGCTAGACCCTTAGGGGCCAGGCTGTAGCACGGCGTGCTGTCCCCGCTACGCGGCTCATATATAAGACGCCGGGGCTGGGCAAGATCACAAAAACCCCAAACACAGCACCTCCACAGGCAGAAACACCCCCCACACACCGTTTTCCCGTCCCCATTAAGGCTTGCTTTCCACAGGACTTGAGGAGAGATCCCGGCGTGACTCAGCCCACCAATGCCCCACCCTGTGTGTCAGGGAAGGAGGTGGGCTCAGGAGGGAGGCGGGCGTCGGCTCTGAATCACCACCAGACGACTGAGGCACCCGGGGTGAAACCCCAGTCCCCACTCCACCGCTTCCCAGAGGGCACACTGGCCTCTCAAAGGCCACGGCTTCGTGGCAACAGCTGCCTTTCTTCCTGACCAGACACACGGGATGAGAGACACCTCAGGACCGAGGGTGGGCTCCCCGGGCTGAGGACCACGCGAGCCACTCACCGTGGGTGATGTTTAACTCGTTGCCAATGGCTAAGCTCCAGACCTTGCCTCTCACGCTGGGAGGGATTCCCTGCCACCACAAATCTCGAACTTTTCTAGAGCACCACCTGGACGAAAATGGAAGCATGAGCTTATGAGTTTGTTCTCAGTGAAGAAACACTTGTCTGCCCATATGCTTAACCCCAAGCCAAAGAAGTGTATATCACAGCCCTGGCCTCAGGGGGCTCACAGCTCAGCAATCTGTACAGACCAGGAGACCAACGGCTGCCTTCCACTGGGCAGTGAACATGCCAGGCACGCTGCAGGCACTGCTCACGCACAGATGGGCACCAGCAGCCAGAGGGGCCCAGAGCCCTGCTCCGAAGCAGGGTCTGCCTGACAGAGCATTCTGAGCGGACGAAGAGTTGGAAGGGCTTTCTGAGCGGAAAGCACAGCAACAAGAGACGACCTGGCCTGCTCCGGGAACCGCACACAGCTGGGCAAGTGTCGGGGGGTGGGGGGCCAGGAGGCACCGCCGCAGAGCGGCAGGGCGGGGGGGGCAGGCCCCAGGGCCTCGGGGCGGGAGCCGGAGGGCACAGCTGCTCACGCGGGCGAAGCGCCCAGGCAACGAGCTGCCGGACTGGAACGGCCAGAGCCCGCGGACTCACACTGCTCCCAGCTGCAGAGAGGGGCTGCATCTGCGGCACGCAGTGGACACACACTGCTGACAGACGGGGACAAGCGTGAAGGTGCGGAGGACTCAACATGCGCTTCTCAGCACGGGGCGAGGGGCGGACGGGAGCATGGGCTGATGGTGCGGAACCCACGGCTGCAGCCCCGTCCCACCCTCACCTGGGAACCCGGAAGAAGCCCCTTCTCCTCTCTCACTCAGCGCACTCCTCCCTAAGGCCAAGATGATGAAACCGCCCCCCATACAGAGGGCCCGAGAGGATGAAGTGGGGAGGCCACAAAGGCAGCCGGCACAGAGCCTGGCACCCGGCACGGGTCACTGAACGGCAGTTCTGGCGTGCATGCGCGCCTCTGAATGCCATCAAGCATCAGGCGGTGCGGATGGGCCGGACCGGGTCCTGCCACCACACGTGGAGACAGTCCAGGCTTCTGAAGACCTCAACTCTTGTTACTGGGCCCCATTTGGGAAGAAGTGCTTTCAGACCATGTGTAGCCTATTAAAGACACTGCCTAGAAAAACAGGCCCTGGGCACAGCGTGTCATCCCAGTGGAAAGCCTCAACACAGTGATCTCCCCCCAACTCCACTCCCAGTGATGAAAGTGAATGACAGCCAGGGTAAGTGCCAGAGCAAGTCCCCAACTTCCTGACCCACGGTTCAGGTTGAAAGGAAGAAAAATAGGAACTAGCATCCAAGCCTCTCCACAGCTCCCGCTGATGGGGCAAAGCCCAAAAGGAGCCACCAGCCTCTGTGAGTGGGCCTGGGACTGCTGTCCATCCACACAGCAGCCCCCAGCCATCCACATACCAGTCCCGGACTGCCGTCTGCACACTGGCCCCCAGCCATCCTGAACACACAGGAGAAAAAGATCCATAGCGCCTCTTCAGACAGAAAGAAGACAGCAGCTGCAGGACTCGAGTGGGTCCTGACTCCCGGGGGCTGTCATCAGAGCAGCTCCCGCACCCCGGCTCACTCAGAGGACAGAGACACTTGCACAGATGGTGCAGCGTACCCAGGGGGTCCTCTGTTGGCACCTGGAGCCAGGGCCAGGGCAGAAAAGGCTTCCCCAAGGAAGACTGAGCTTTCAAGAACAAAGCGTTAACTGGACAAGGAGATACGGGGCAAGAGCACGTGAGACAGCCGGAAGAGAACAGGCGAAGTCCCTGAGGCTCCCCAAGGGAAGAATTCGTCCAAGCAAAGGAGTGGTGAAAGGCGAGGCCACAGAGAACGGGGCCGGCTCCGTCACGGGAGGCCCACCAGCTGAGCCACGAAACTCCCGTCTCACTCGGGAGTCACAGGAAGCTGCTGCCACGCGAAGTGTGGAAGTGACACAGGACCGTGCCGCAGACAATCCTCTGACTGCTGAGGACAAGACGAGGTGGAAGGGGCGGGAGAGGAGGGCTGCCACAGCGCCCAGGGAGGAAAAAGGCTGAACCAAGGCAGGGGAAGGAGACCGTGTGGCTCAAGCTTCTCAGGGAACTTCATCAAAGTCTGTGACGCGAGCTACACTTAATACAGCTGCTTCCCATAAATTCTGCCAGGAAACGACATGCCATCCAGGGTGTCTGTGAGGTCAGAGCTTACATTGTTTCCCAGTTGGGCAAAATCTCGTTGTTCCAAGTGAGGACCGCATTTCCAATACTTTCTTCTAGTCTGCATCTTTCCTCCAACTGCTTTTTCCTCCTCTGGGCTTCTTTCAGCTCTAGACATCACAATTAAAAAGAAGAAGAAAACATCTGTTAGCTGATATCCACTGATTCCCAGCTGGGCAACTTTACTCAAAGAGTCAGGCTGCAAAAACCCCAGGAAGACAGCACTGATGTGGAGCAGTGTTTAAGACCTGACCTGGTTCATCACACAGCTTAGAAGTCTAGAAACTTTAGCTGCTATTTATCATTCAGTCAGCTTTTTGTAACACACATATCATATAACATGTATACAGAAAAGTACTCAGACAAGAACATGACAAAACTATCACATAACAGACAAACCCATGAAATCACCACCCCGACCAGGCGGCCGGACAGGAGCAGACACCAGAAGCTCTGTACTCGTCACCCAGTCCCCTTCCCAGTGGGACCTGCACCCTCACCTCTCACAGCATAAGAGTAACTCTTAGTATGTAGCAGCAACTTAGAGAAATACCACACCTTTTCACTTATATATACCTTTTTGGGGGGCAAAATACACAAAACATAAAATGTCCCACTTCATCCCCGATAAGCGTGAAGTTCAGTGGCATGAAGTACATTCACACTGTTATGCAACCATCACGGCCACCTTCCAAACTGGAACTCTGTCTCCATGAAACACCCACTTCCCACGCCAACCCTTCCCACTTCCCAGTCCCTGGCAACCTCCAGTCTAATTTCTGTGTCTGTGAATCTGACTATTCTATTGGGTTGGCCAAAGAAGTTCATTTGGGGTTTTTTGTTGGAACTTTGGCCAATCCAATAGATACCTCATATAGGTGGAATCATACAGAATTTATCCTTTTGTGTTTGGTTTATTTCACTTAGAACACTGTCTTCAAGCTTCATGTTGTAGCATGTATTAGAACTTCATTCCTTTTTAAGGCTGAACGATATTCCATTGCATGGGCAGACCATGTCATTTTATTATATACACTTTTTAAACACCTAAGAATCGTAGGGTTTTTAGGTGTCATGAGGCACTTTAACAAGTCCCAACACATCTCCTTCTAAGTAAGGGGAGCTGAGCCCACAGAGGGCAGAGAGCCACCTCCCCATCCCTACGAGCTAAGGCTTTGCCCACCCTTGCACTTTCATCCTACACAGACTCTTTCCTCACGTAAATTCAAAGTATTACCTTGAATAAAGTTACCAGAAATGAATAGTTAGCAGAAATGTACATTTTTGATGAAAAATTATAAACTTCAAAATATTAAAGGCATTCACCAAAGTTCAGGTTCTAAAGCTTCAAAAGGTAACGAGAAAATACCTAGGAAGGCACAAAATCTTGTGCTGCCTTACATAACCAAAGACGTGTGAATTCCATTACCTCGTTTTTTGGCCTGAACCACCATCTCTTCATACTGTTGCCTGTGTTTCTGAGCTTCTTCAGCTGGCTTCGCTGGGAGATTTCTTGATAGGAAAAAAAAAAAAGATTTTTCACCATTTTAAATATTAAAGAGCAACTTGAAGCATCGTGTACTTAAAAAAGAAGTTCAAAGACCAAAACCACCTTTGTTAGATGATAAAGACACAGCCTAAAAAAATTTTTTTTACAAAAGTAAAATAAAGCTCATTTTTAAAAAACTTGAAATCTGAAGGTTAGCAGAAAGAAGAAAATAGCAATTACCCACAATTCCAACAGAGATAAACACTTAAATCTTTTAGTGTCTTTTTTCACCCCAGGTCTCCAAAGAAACTTTGATTTGACCACATGCACTAATCACTGTCAGCAGTCACTGGTGAAGTACTCTAATGGCATATATTATATATGCATGAATCTACTCCCTGGCCTGTTTTTCAAGCGTGCAAGTCTCATACTAGCTATGTGGTTCATCTGTCTGATATCTATATCTATATACATACACACACACACACAGATTCATACAGCAATTCTAAACATCTAAATGTGGTGGACAACTTCGAATTCTGGTTAAAAAAATAAAAGGCACGTTCTCTTTCTGAAACGTGCTGGTGAGTTTGCTGGCTCTGGAGAACTGGGAGGGTGGCCACGTCTGGCTGGCACTCCCCGCGCTGAGCTGAATGATGGTCTCTACTGCACGGCACAGCTCACGTCTCAGGGAGCATCACAAGGGCTGAGCTCCAAGGGCGGCAGCTGTTACCCACAGTCCCTAAGTCCCTACCTGCCTCCGAGCTCGCCATGTCAGTTTCTCTTCCCACCTACCCATACATCCACAACGTCCAACGACCAAAAGTTAACATCAGAAGACACATATCGCTTCTTCAGACTTCATCAATTTTAAATGTCAGGGTTGGCAGGGACCTTAGAAATTCTAGGTCAGTGTTTTACAATCTCTCTTCAAGAAGAAGAAAAAAAAAGTTGTGGAATCTTTCTGTTCAAAAATAGGGTTCTATGGAAACCTGATGCTTAACTAGTGATAAGCTCTGGCCTGGTACGATGGAGCAATCCCTTTATCTAACTAAGGTCTCCAAACACGATCTGCAGGCCAGTCACGGAAACTGATCTCGTCAGTTCCAGGCAAACCAGAGGCTGGAGGGGAGGGAACTCGCTAGGCTCACCCAGCCTGTTTACCGCAGCACATCCTGAAGAACCAGCAGGCTGGTGCAGGCACTGTTCTGCCGTTTTCTGGGGGTACCTACGAAACACCCTCTTCAGAGTATTCGCTCTGCTGTTTCTTACAATTACAAGCCAGTCTATAATTAATAACAGCTCTGCAAGTATTTAGAATGCTAAATTAAAAAGTCACTTGAACGGAAAATCCGGGTTGAAACTTGTAGATTAGGGCTTCCCTGGTGGCTCGGTAATAAAGAATCTGCCTGCCGACACAGGAGACTCGGGTTCATCCCCTGATCCGGGGAAGATCGCACATGCCACGGAGCAGCTACCCCTCTGTGCCGCAGCTACTGAGTCTGTGTGCTAGGGCCCAGAGCTGCGACTGGAGAAGGCACTGCAGTGAGAGGCCGGCCTCCTAGACTAGAGAGGAGCCTCTGCTCTCCACATCGAGGGGGAAAAGCCTGAGCAGCAACCAAGACCCAACAGAGCCAAAAATAAAAATTAGTTAGTTAAAAAAACCCACTTCTATGTTACATGGAACTTCTCCCAATCAGTCATACTGTCACACAGAATACACATTAGCACAGGGGACAGATGGAACCTGTGTTTTCAATGAGTGACGTGCCAACTTGTTCTTCCCCTCATGACCCAGTCCTTTGCTAGTGAAACGGTGACCAGCAAATGGACTTATCCCCCAAAAGAAACTCTCTACAAACTCTTGTTCAGACTCACGCTGGTCTGTCTTCCAGGATGAGTGCTGTGGTGGAAAGAGGCTCAAAATCAAGATTCTTCCTCACATTCTGCTTCGGAGAGGGAGGCTTGCTAGGTCGTCCAGCCTTGTCTTCATATTCCTAGGACAAAGAAACCAGGGATAAGCCCAGGCCCAGGCAATCTGAGGTTACAGAGTAAGAAAGCGGTTTTGTTATGAATTATGAAGCCCTTTAAGTCGACTGTGAGGACGACACACAGACAATGCGTCTTGCTCTGAGAAGGAAGAACGGCCGGTAAAAGGCTTCCTGCAGCTCTGCCAGCTCAGGCCATCACTTCACGGGGACTGCAAGCTTTCCACACCGGCAGGGAAGTCACTGAAGATCTTGTCATTCCAGCGGCCCCTCTGAGGGACCACAAACCTCAACTCAGGCCTCCCATGCGTCTTCTGTTTAAGAGGTGTGTATTCTGTCTTCTGGACACGGTAAATCTGAAATGATCGTTGCAGTGGCAACCAGGAAGCTCAGAGTCAGAGTGACAGCCAATTCTGGCACTCCTCTGAACCCCTGGTTTCATCTCCCACTCCCATCCTAAATTTCTAAAGCATATTCATTTATCCCACTGCATTTTATCGATTTTTGTTAACTTTTCAAATCTTTTCCAAAATGAGGAAGAAGATAAAAAGTTTTCGCTTGCAGGTGCTTAAAGCTGTTTCATTTTCTTAAAGCAGAAACATCAAAAAAAGAAATTCTTTAACACCTTTGTATGAAGCCATTGTTGCCAGTTGATACATAAATAATTGTGCCATGCCCTGGAAATCTTGGAGCAGTGTCCGCACCTCCAGGTCACTAATCTGTCCTGTGAACTGCAACCACAAAACCTCAGTCACACCTGGTGACCCACATTCCAAACACCCAACCAGCAGAGTTCAGGAGAGCCAAGTCCGTTGGGCCAAAGAGTCCAGTTTCTAAAATTATGTTTGTATCCTTGTGTGCATGGGCGCATGCTAAGTCACTTTGTCACACTGACTCTCTGCAACCCTACGGACTGTAGCCTGCTGGGCTCCTCTGTCCGTGGGACTCTCCAGGCAAGAACACTGCAGTGGGTTGCCACACCCTCCTCCTCTGTACCCTTAGCCTTCTGCAAAAATAAAAACAAGCATTTTCTTGTTGTCTATTACAGACAAGGCTCTCAGGACTCTCCCTTAAGTCAAGGCAGCCTAGCTGGGAAGGTTAGGACAAACAACAGAGCAGTTGGCCTAAGATTTAAGTGAGCACTCCAGATGCAACAGAAGCAGTATCAGGAGTGGAAAGTGATGAATTGCTAAGTGAATTTTATTAACTCTAGTTGTTAATGGGGTGTTACTGGTAAAATTATTTGGCTAGCAATTATTCTCTCAGACAGAAAAGCCTACTGAGGTTTCTAAAAAGCTTAAAGGAAAAACTGCTTCCTCAGAACCCACAGACTGTGAGAAGGGTGTGCCCCAAGACGCAGGTGGGAGGGGCAGTTTCTGAACCTCTGGATGTACAGGGTTAGATGGCTCAGCATTGTTCGTTGCTGTTGTTCAGTTGCTACGCCATGTCTGGCCCTTTGTAACCCCACGGACTGCAGCACACAAGGTTTCCCTGTCCTTCACCATCTCCCAGAGCTTGCTCAAACCCATGTCCATTGAGACGGTGATGCCATCCAACCATCTCATCCTCTGTCACCCCCTTCTCCTGCTCTCAATGTTTCCCAGCATCAAGGTCTTTTCCAGTGAGTCACCCTGATGTAAAATGGTTCCATTAAAATCTAAAATGACCTCCACTTACCCAAAGCCGAGAAAAGGGACTTGTGTGCTCAGCCATTCAAACACTTGAGCACCTCCATGTGCCAGGCACTCAGCTGCAACTTAACACGGTGATAAACAACTATGAGGAAGTGTCATATGTAGCACCCAATGCAGAACCTTGAACTTTACAGGAAAACTACCTAGAGCTGTGCTCAGAAAGGTTCTGAGATACGTTGCAATTTAACAAGCATTGTTAATGAACACCCTGTAAAGTGCTACTCATGTGCTGACCCTGGTCTGATGAACTACATGCCAAGGCCAAAGAAGCTGAGCCCCAAGTTAGATGTCCCAGAATATGGATGCCCACCGCCACTTGCTTCTGGGCGCTTTATCTCCATAACAATCTCTACGGCAGGTGTCACTGTGTTTTACAAGTAGGACCCCTGAGGTTCAAAGTGACTTGCCCACAGCCAGCAAGGTGCTGAACCTGTAGGACTCTCCTCTCCGACCCTCTGCACAGGCCCTGACCTCCCCTGTGGATACACTCAAAACAGGTGTGCAGCCGTGGAGAGAAGGGCCCAGGGCCCATTCAAGTCAAGTGTGGTCTCTGGGGCCAGACAGGCCCGGCAGCAAATTCAGATCCACCAAGAACCAGCCTCGACCTCCGGCGAAGCACAACTAAGCCTGCCGGTGCCTCACTTTCACATCTGCAAAAAGGGTAACAGCACCTGGCAGAGGGGGCTGTCTCAGGAGTGGGGAGAGGCGTGTGAGGCAGCCAGCACAGCCCCTGGGGCAGAGGGATGCTCCAGGAAGGCTGGCCCCTGCTGCTGTCTGCCGTGACCCTTTTTCCCTGGGGCCTGAAACTATGTAAGGCAGGGGAAAAAAATGCTCCATGACCAAACAACAATCAAGGAGCCCTGCAAAGTCTGCAAAGAGCACAGATGTGAAAAGGAGTTGTAACGTCAATTAAATGCCTTGATTTGTGATCTTTAAAAGATCAGTCTCTTCAGTGGGAGCTCAGAGGCTCCATCACAGATGATAAAACACAGCACAGCTGTAACAAGCCAAGCGCTTCCCAAGGGCTTAACACAGGCGGAACTGGCTCAACTCCCCCCTCACACCACCAACCCCCCCCCCCCCCCCCCCCGCCCCGGCCGGAGAGAGAGGACCTGCAGGTGGCGGCCGGAAGGGCTGCAGGAGACGAACGGAGCACCCAAGCTCCGCAGCCACACAGCCCACCGCAGGTTGCACGGGCCAGGAGGAATTCAGTCATTCACATTCAGTCTATATAAAGCTTTCATCTATGACACAAACCTGTGATAGCCGATGAAGTACAGACGCAAGGCAAATACTTATGATTTAATCACATACTGCACTGCATGATTAAAAAAAAACAGGCCTGTCCCGTCCACACTTGCAATCCCAGGGAAGGCCTCTTCAACATTTTAAACGGCATTTCAGAACACGAACAGCTCTGGAGATTATTAACAGGTCCTACTCCAAACCTAGTGCTCACACTGTTACCTACAGAAGTCAACAGTAAGCTCATCTTCCAAATAGGACAAGCCAACATCACGAAAGAGAGAGAGAACGCGTCATTCTCGGGAAGAAAACAACTTCCAGCTGTGAGTTTATCAACACTGAGGTCAGCATGTGATGTGGGAAGAGCTGGGGATTTGGAAGCACAAAGACTCAGTTCTAAGTCCTGGCTCTGACCTGAGGCAAATCGTCTTCTTCTCTCTCAGCCATGAAAAGGGGCAACTGTGAAGACTCCCGTGATGGTGAGATGACGGGCATCGTTCGATGGCCACCCTTTCCCTGCGCCAGCCAAATGGCGGGGTCATCCCTGCCTCAGTCCACATCACCCTTCCTCCTCCTGGGGCCCTGATGGGATCAAGTTTCAAAGTTTTCTGGCTTAAACCAAGTAACAATGCCATTCGTTGCTGTGCTCACCGGAAGTCCTGCAGACTAATAAAGATAAAACATCCATTCAAGGAACAGCTACAGATTCCAACACCCTGTATAACCTGAGGGAATTTAGAATGGGGTTCTTCAAAGTTCTAGGGGCAAATCAGTTTAACTGGTCATGACAGCATTTCTTAAATCAAGCAAACAACAACAACAACAACAACAGGGTGCACACAGTAAGGAGACTGTGTTTCAGTTCTATACCTACTTATAGCTGTGCCTTTTGAGAGCACGGAGTCTCAACCCAAACTGCCTAACCCAGGGATTGGAGTAGGGGGGTGTGCCAAACAAGGTCTGCAGGCCACTCATTTAGAACAGGTCATAGTCCCTGCCGGGAGTGGCTTACCTCGTATGCTGCCGGGAAGGTAAGACCAACAGCAGAGAGAGAGCAGCAAACAAAACCTACTGTAGCCCACCCCGAGAAAACCTACTGTACTAACCAGGGGCTAGCTGTGGGGCATGTCTGATAACCCAGCAAGGGGTCAGGGAAAAAGCAGCAAGCAGGCAGCGAGCCAAGACAGCTGAGGCTGCGAGGCCAGGGCAGATAATAAACCCCGCCGTGAAAGGGCAAGCCAGAGCTGCGGGAGCCCCAAGGACAGGACACCGATGGCTGGAGAGAGGCAGAGAAAGCGTTTCCTAAAGGCTGCCATCTCAGCGCACAGAGGACGGAGGAGCTGGGCTAGAAGCCACGAGAGCCAGGCATCCTGACAGCACGACAGCAGCCAAGAGACAGCGCTCAGCAGGCCTGTCTGCGGGCGGCACGAGCACTTTAAACCGGGAACGATGCTGAGTCAAAGTTCTGTTCCAGATTTCATGGGCTCAATGACGATCTACCTGGAAGTGATGAGACAAGCTGAGAGCAGAGGAGAGGGAGAAAAGGAAGAGCCAGCTCGGGTGCAGAGCCAGGCAGTGGGCAGCCCAGGGCGCGACGAGCCCGGTCAACACAGCCAGCGGCAAGGCCTTCCTCCTGTGCACGATCCGAACAGCGCATCAGACTCCAAAACTAAGTGTGTCTATTCTGCTGGTTAAAGAAGAAATGACGAAAAGTCTACCTCAACAGACACTTGCCTAAGAGGAAACGATCAAGATTCCCAAAGGGCGAAAAGGAGGAATTCCTGGGAGGATGACCAGAGGGGTGTCACTGCTACTCACAGCACTGGAAGAGCACGGTGAAAGGCAGCCGTTTATGCCCCAGTGTGGCAACAGAAACCCCTCAGCTTCCTGAAATCTACCCCAGCTACAAGGAGAAAGACTCATCAGCCAAAACCCGTGCTTACGCCTTGGACTCAACTGGTTACAGTACCAAGATGAGCTTTTTAAAACAAACAGAAGGCTTTAGAGGTGTGTCTAGAATAAAAGCACAGCAGGTCACACCACCTGGCACCTATTAGAAGACTGCCCCAA